AGGGAGATCTCCTCTCCATATAACTGATGTGTCTTGGCGCTTGGAATATCAAATCAAGGTAATTTTAACACATCAGGGTGTTTCTTTAGTCTGTTTCAGTGCTGAGATCTGACTTTTTCCTCTGCTCTTTGTTTCTAATTTAGAGCAATCAACTTCATAAAACTTATCAGCCTTCCTACTTGGTGACCTTAAATGTAGAGGTACTGTACTCCCAGCACCCTCAGAGGAAAAAATGAAATTCCACAATATTTTCTTTAATAAAATAAACATCGTTGGTTTTTTTTTTTTCTTTCAGAACAGTGATTCAGGATCACACCCAGATGTTAGTTTTAGTTGTACGATGGAGCAATTACAGGTACTTCTTTCCTTCATCATTGTTTCTGTGCTTGGCTCCAGCTGTGGATGTAAATGTTTTTAACAATTTGCCAATCAAAATGAAATCATGTATACTGTTTAAAAAGATTAAAAATCCAAGACTGGGAGGGCAGGAGAGAATCTTCTGTAAAAATTATCTGAGTGTAGATTTCCTGTCTTCTCAAATAAAGTTACAAAGTAACTGATTTTAGTTGCATGGGGAGTGTTTTACATACTTGCATAAATATTTTGTCTGTTTTCATAACTGTGTTTTTATATATATGTATGGGAAGAAATATGTCATTTTTCTGAAACTCTGATTTCCCATGCTTTAGAGAAATTATTAAAGAAGCTGGTTTAATGATTTAAATGTGTCATGATTAAAAATAGAGAACGAACTGAAGGCTCTTCAGTGGTGTTAATGACATGTAAGAAATGTACTGAAACAAACGTTGATCTTTGTTTAGCGATTTAAATGTGTAACTGAACAATAGAGGTATTGTAATGCTTGGAAGTGACCAAACTGGAGGATTGAGAAGAGGGGTTGGGGGAGAGGAAAAGGAAGATATTACAACTTCAGGTTTACACCTCTCCTTTTTTAACATGTGTCTCAAAAGTCCTTTTCTTACTAATGACTTTTTTTAATCGGTTTGCTGACTTAGTTAAATCCAACGTGCTTTGGCTGGAGAATGGTCCTAGTACAAAATTACACTCAAAGTATTTTCAGAATTTTAGAAATGTATATGGTACTTCAAAGCCTAGAGCGAATGTCAGCATTAGCCATCGTAACGGTACCAATAAAATATATGTGCAAAGAGGAGTGATCTATTCTAGTAGATAATGTACGTTCAAAGGTGTTTTCCTTCAGTTCACACTTTTCTTACTACGTTGTAAAATAAGGAGCTATTTAATTACTTGCTGGCATTGTTGATCAGTTGCAACATTTCTTTGTGCCAGAAGGTGCTGGTTTCCCTTGCCTCTCTCTCTAAAAAAAAAATTATGTTCCTCTAGCTGACCTTTTAAAAAATACGTTTATTCTGAGACAGTATTTAATCTCTTAGGATTTAGTTGGAAAACTAAAAGATGCTGCAAAAAGTCTAGAAAGAGCGACTCAGATGTGATTGAAGGAAGGTGTCAGCCTGCTGAGCTGAAGTACCCTGATTCCTAAGAGTGTCTTCTAAATGACAAATGCCTTTCATCTCTTGATGCAAACTGTTCTTTTTTTTTTTTAAGTCTGTGGATGCGACTTAAGTAACTTTTTTTTTTATGACCGCACTTGGTATTCCTTGCTCGTGTCATTTTTTTTTTAATTAACTCTTGTTAAACATTTGCTTAACTGCCGTGTCTTCAAAGCATTCCTTCTGTTTTATTTTCTGTATTTTTAAAATTGTCACTGATTATTTTTGTGTTAGATCTAATAAAGTTTATTCGCTCCTGTTCTGCAATTTCTATGGGTGAATTAGCTGTACGTAAAAGTAAAATGCTCAATGTTGTATCGGCGGTGGGAGGCGAAAATCCCTTCCTCCCGTGCCGCGGCTACGGCGCGTTTGCTAAATTGCCGACCGCGTTTTGTTATTTCACTCCCACTGATCTTACATCTTCTGTAAGAGTAAAGGTTGGTCCCCGGCGCGGGAGGCAAGACGGACTTTAATTTAATTTTATGGAGCCGGGGCACCTCGCGGAAAGCCGGGAGTCCGCGGGGCTGAGCGGAGCCGGGTGT